TGGGTGCCCCCGGGTCAGTTCCTTCTCGTCCGTGTGAAACTGCAAGCGAGCAGTTTCACACAAGCAAGGGAAGAAACGCGCGTCGCCGGGGCGGGGCGGGGCGGGCGAGCTTTGCCTCCTGCCCTCGCCGCCTGGTGGAGCGGGCGGGGACTGCAGGGCCGCACCTCCAAACCCCCCCCCGCGCCCTCGGCCCCGCTGCCGTAAAGCGCTGGGATAGCTACGCGCGAAACGCGCGCGTGGAGCGGCGGGTGGCGTGCGTTCTTCCAGGTTTGAAAAGAAGTGGAATAGGATTGCCGTCTTTCAAGCTGAAGTTACACCCACGTTATAACCCACCGTGGCCTGGTTGCGACAAACAGGTTTCGAGCACGTACACACATTTAGCATTCAGTGTATATTTTTGAAGCGTTATTTTACAAAGGAGCACATCTTCAGAAGTCATCCTGTTGACAGCAATGTGAAAAATATTATTAATTTTTTCTTTTCCCCGAGCGTAGGTGGTGTGCTTTACCTCAATGCCCGTTATTTTCAAATGGAGGCTTAGTTACTGACTTGTCAAGTCTATTTAGAAAGGGACCATCAACTTGCAGGAATTACAAGCCTCAGTGTAGAATACCTAATGAGTCTTAAATTTCTTCCAGCCGGTCGGGGTTTTCCCCTTTGTAGTCTTCAGACAGCTTTTTTTCATAGTTAAACATTCTGCATTGCGAAAGCCAGGTGTGATTTCATCTCGCCTGAAAGGGAGCAGTGCTCTTAAGCTAGCGGTTAGAAAGGAATTTTTCTGGAGAAGTGGCTTGATTCGTAAGCGAAATGAGAATTGTTATGAGAATCGTTATGAGGATGGGGTTTCCCAAGATTACAAAATCCTCGGGGGTAGCGAGAAGATTAGAAGGGGAAATACATTTACATGTGACCACAGATCAGGATATCAAGTCTTGCATAAGGATTCGATCTTAATCTTGAAAACCATGCTGTAATGTTTTTAGCTGTTATTTTATCAGAAACTTTTGGGGGTAAAATTAATTGTAAAAGTGCCACCCTGTTACCTGTAAATCGTAGTAATCTTGTACTGTAATAAAATGAAGTTTTTATGTATTTTTTTCAACTTGAATACTTGGCCAGTCTTGAGGGGTTTTTAATAGCTGGTGGGCTGTGGGCTCCCCCAAAAGCATCAGGTTTCGTTCAGGAGGTGCTACCGGTACGGTCCTGAGCACTGGGGGGACTGTCAAAGTCCTGAAGAGGCAGTGCCGGGATCCTCCACTGGTTTGCATAAGGCACTTTCGGAGCAGGTAACTCTGAATTTCGGTGTGAGAAGAAGTGTATCCTTGTGAGAAAAGCAGTAGACAAAACAATATGCAGTGAAGCGGGATGGGCAGTGCCTGAACTTCGAGGGTCTCGCATCTGTTTGTGACGGTGTACCTGAAACTCAGTGTCGTCTTGAAGGATTTAGCTGGCAGTGGGATGTCAGTAGAAACAGCAGTGTAAACAGTAACTATAGTTAAGACTTACGAATTTCTGAGAGACATAAGTGCCACCGTTGGTGAACAAAGTCCCCTTGTCATGAGATAGAGAGGTGAGTCCAACAAGCACTAGTTCAACATTCTGATCAATACCGCAAAATTTTCTGGGCGTTGATCTAGTAAAGGAGTCCTTTCCTGAGACTGATTTCAGAGGGTGGTTATATCGACATGGGTAGCACTGCACTTTACTTACATGTGAGCTGGGCTTATTTGTTTTCAGTTCAAGAGGGAACTTAAAATTTCCTTTCTTTTCCCGATTCGTGTGTAAAAGAAAAAATGTTTATTCACAACTAGTGGCATTAGATATATGTAAAGGTACATATGTAAGATTTTCTTCTAAGGGCAGGTGATTGGCTCTTGGATAAGTGCGGTAGATATTTTACTAGGGCTATTACCAGTTCATTTTTAGTGGTGTTGAGCTCTCCATGCTTGAACTGGTATATGGATGCGTACTGCATACTGAGTGCATGCTGAGGCTGCCTAACTGGTGATTGCTCGGGTGCACTAAGTTTTTGTTGTCACAACAATCTATATTAAAAAGTAGAGAGGAGAAAGAGCCAAATTGACACTATACCATTACTTTTCTAAGTAACACGTAATATCAGTAGGGATGTGCTTTTATAACAATTGTTGAACAAAGGGTCAAAGATTTGAGATGAAGAGGGAATGCAAAGTGATAACAAGAGCTGCCTTAGGGAACTTTACTGAGAATAGGGTGATAAATTTGAGAAATGGAAGCAGAAAAGTAATAAGAGGTCACTGGTTAAGCTCAGTCAATTGTCATATGATTGGACATACTGCATCTTCTTCTCCCTGTGGCTGCATTCAAAGGGGAAAAAACTTTGAAGAGATTTCCTTTAGGCTATCTGCTGCAGGAGCTTGTCTAGCTCAGCTTTGTTGAGTTGCTCAGAATCATAATGCCAGCTGTAGAGGCTGATCACTTAAAAGTAAATAATGAAACACAGACACTCCCCCTCTTAACTGTTGTGGGTGGAAAAGAAGGAGACCTAGACCTTATGTTTAGAAGCACTGTGAAGCATACGCTATGCAAAAAACATTCCTGGGATGTGTCTCTCTCGTATTTGAGTGGTTATGGTTTTTCTGTCTCCTGCAGTGGAAATAATTGGGGGCCAGATAGAGGCAAACTGAGCATCCAGACGGCTCACTTGAATAATGCAGAGTTTATCTGCCTCCTTTGCCTCACTGTGAATGCCAAGAAATGGAAGTTTGCCCGCTTGTATCTACCCAGTGAATTGGTTTGTAAATAAATGAGCTTCACAAAAATAAATGTTTCCTCATCTGTTTTGTAGTTGGGGACACAGAGGAATGAAGTTAAGTTACATACCCCAAACACCCAGCAAGTCAGTGTCTGGGTGAGATCTGTGGGGCTCTAAGCTCCATCTCTCTCCCACATAAGCACTTTCACAGACCTCCTCTGGATTTAGATTAGAGAATGGCTCCTTGGAAAAAGCTCAGAAGGTAATGTTGTGCAAAAATAATCCATAGAGATACAGTTCTCAGAATTCTCTTCAAGTTCTTACAGAAAAATCCTTCTGTCACCAGAATGACTTTTGGTTCTAAGTTTCTTTTGCCCATCTCAGTGCCTCTAATTGCAGTCGAGTGACACAGTTAAAAAAAGACACACGGTGGGTCTCTAACGTGATGTACCTCTAGTTACTCTGCTTCCTAAATTTCAAGCGCGTAACAGAGTCGTCAGTGATATATAACATCAATTGCTTACGTGTTAATCTGCTGATAGCCAGAGAGGGAAATAGATTAAAAACCAGTCCCAACCCTTAAAGACCAGTAACCACCCTACCTACTGAAGTCATTCAATAGGAGGAGTCATGAATTGCAGAAGCTTGAATACAGCTTTGCTTTCTGCTTCCTACTCCACATGTCACTTACTTCATTAGTGGCATTCAGTTAAGTTAGAAGTCTAGCATACTATAAGGAAACACTAGATTTGCCACGTGTCTGTGGATATTACATATTGCTTTTCTCCGTTTCCACATGCTGAAATTGTGTTTCTTCATCTGTTTGATATACTGGGTGAAATCAGGTAAGAACCATTAGCTTATTCTTTGTGATGTAGTCTCTTGCCTTTATTCAAGCATAAAAAATTAATATTCCTTCATTTAGATTGGCCAAAAGATTAAACCTTGTGAATTATGCCTAATGGAGCAGACGATTAGTAAAGAGAATTCTGTCACTCTGAAACCGAGACGTAGGTTTTCATTTTAAAGTAAATAGAACAAAGCCTGATACTTTATCTCTGGCTGTACTTTGCACGGAGACACACTTAGGTATGTGCACTTTGTAAGAAGTAAAAAGGTAATTGTGAAATAGTTTTAACACATTAACATAAGTTTATTGTTTACTGCTGATTTGATAGGTTGACAGATTTTCAAGTTATGTGTTAGGCTTTAAATAGTAAAATTTAGTTAGAAAAAACTCAGTGTGAACTTAAGGTTTTCTCCTTTTCAACCACAGAAGGTACTTACAACGCTTACAAACGCACACAGGAAAGTTAAAATCGTATATTAACTGAGTTAAACTGCATACGTAACTGCCCAACGCCTATCTGTATGTTCTGACCGTACAGAAGAGCGTACGTGAGTACTCCCACAAGCGTGCACAAAGGGCAGCTGGGTATTCCTTCCAGTAATCAACCAGAAACAGGAGTTTGAAAAACCTCCCCTCAATGACTACGCGCTAAACGATTCAAAGTATTCAATCTATAAATCTATTCATAGTACTTCTCTAATTCCACAGTAAAGACATCATATTTTCTTTTTTTCTTTATTTACTTTTCAAAGAATAACTGCTGTCATTTCACACCCATAAGCAAACGAGTTTTTTCCCTTTGACGTTTCCCAGCTAGATTTCGTTAGTTAAAATAATTTCCTTGTGATAGATTTCTTACTTCCATGGACCAGACTGTGTCTCTGGTTTATGTCACTGTCATTCCACTGGCTTTAGAAGAATTAATTCTTATTTCCAACAATCAAATTATAAGAAATCAAAACATTTAAATGGATATGGAGGAACACTTCAACAATATCTTAGCATGAATCTTTTGTATGTTAGATATGTAGGAGTGAATTATAAGGATCAGTGATTAAACTTGGATTTAAGAACAATATTAGGCAAAAATGAGAGAGTTTCATGTTGTAGCTTTGAATCTGAATAGCAAAAATTTAATCAAGTAGCTGTTTTTTATCATTTGGCTTTGCATATGACATTTGTGTAATAGAATTTCTATTCTAGTTTTATTGTTGTGTATCATTATATGAAAACTAGAGATTAAATGTGACACATTCTATTAACATCTGAGTATCATGTCACGTGTATGACATTTTACCAGGTTGTTGAATATTGTTTTCATTAAATTCAAGGCAACTGCAGCTGAACAGCTCTTAATTTCTGAAATTCTTCTTAGATAAGTCTCAGCAATGAAACTGAGTTGCCTTCCTGTACCACTAGTTAGTTAATAACCTATCCAGTAATCAGTTACTTAAATTATTCAATGTCAAAATGAGGAGAACGGTGATATTTATTTTGAAATATAGGTAATTCTAACTTTTCCTAGACGTAATAATGGTAGCTATTGTCATAAGGTGATGATAGGCACAAACCTTTTGTCTGGACAATTTGAGACAGGAAGTTTCAGGCCATTCTAACACTCTGTAACTTCAACCCTGATCCTGTTTGCAAATATCCATTATTTTTTTGTGATGTCCAGTCCAGAAGTGTCTGGTCTAGTGGTTTGGCCATGGTTTGGCCTAGAGGTGATTCATCTAGTTCCCTAAATGAATTAGTGTCTTTATCGCATCTTTACTGCATCTTAAGTGCTATAATTCATATTGTTTAGCTTTGTTTAGATCTGCACTATAGTATCAAATACATTTTTCAGATACCTTGTAACCGCCTCCCCACTTGCCCTTCACAGCTTTATAAACCAGTGAGGGCTCGCTGTCTGTCTCAGATGTGCAAATGTGGTGGATTCGGTTCTGCCAGCTAGCCGCTTGCTGGGAAAAGGAGAAGAGCTAGAACTGCCTCTCCTATAACTCGAAAATTCTGAGAAATTCAGGTTACTTTTTTTATTATTTTTAAGGAACTGAGTAGGTACTATTTCTCTTCCTACTTTTGCTTTCTAGAAGTTGACTGAGTCTTGTTTTACAAAGTTGTTAATAACAGGAAAATTGAGAAAGGTACCATCAAATGTCAGACAAAAGCCTTGTGTAAAGTTGCGTAGCCCACTAGAAGTCAAGAGATTGGCCCAAATTTCTTTGGCCATACATCAGCTAGCACCATAGCAAAGGTGAAGAGGCCATACAGAAGAACTGTGACAGGCCTCGGCATTGTGCCCAGAATCCTGAAATGGCTTATCCACACAATGTGACCTCAGCAGCCAAGGGATACTTTCTAAAGTGTTAACTTTTGATGTTGATAAACACACTGGGGAAAAATTAAATCTTTCTAGACTCTTTTGAAAATCTCCATCCTCTTGCTGATCCTGACTGGTCTACAGCTTAACCTTGTATACCATAACTGCCCGAGTACAGAAATGCTAAATAATACAGTTTTTCTTGTGCCATTATGTACATTGACCTTACAGATTCTTATTTTTTCAAACTCAGAACAGGATCCTTTGTTTCTTCTTTCTTTGTTTCTTGGTAATGGTGATCCAAAACCAGGGAAGGGTTCTGGATCATCCCCGTACTGTCAGGCAACTGTTTCTTATTGCTAGATCCAACCATAAGGTCTAAGGCTTGGCAACTTTGACATGCTGGCCGAAACAGGAAGATACAACCACAGCGGTCTTCCTGTTTATACAGCTCGCACGAGTTGTGAAAAAGTTCTGAGAACTAAATTTGATGGTTAAGCAAAGGATCTTCTCCACACTGACTACTAATTTGTATTTGTTATGGAGAAAATATATGTTTCAGGAACAATTAGAAAGGTTAATTTTGTATTTGAAGTGTTCAGAGGAGCATAGTGGTATCTGCAGAGTCATTAGTTAAACTGTGTGTCCTCGTTCAACGCACATTCTGGCACATCATTCCAAAGGTCTGGAGTGAAGAAAATGGAAGTTCTTCACTTTTAGTGGAAAAATGTGGGGAAAAAAAGTGAAGAGGTGGTATTTCAGGTGGTCTAATTCATCAAATGATTGTCTAACATTTTCATCTTTTTCAGATGAGGAGAAAAAATGTCCTGAATTCACAGATCTCAATATAGGCAATGCTTTGACTGGGACAGAACTCCGAGTCCAGCTACTGCTATACACAAGGGAAAATGAAAATTGTTCTGAGAGACTCATTGAACATAATGTTACTGCGTCTGAGTACCTTGATACCTCCAAGAAAATTGTCTTTGTTATTCACGGCTTCAGACCAACAGGATCTCCACCGGCATGGCTAGGTGACATGAAGGAGCTTTTACTGTCTTCAGAGGATATTAATCTCATTATAGTTGATTGGAATCGTGGTGCTACAACTGTGAATTACATAACTGCTGTTGAAAACTGCAGAAAAGTTGCAGAAATACTGAAGAACTATCTTGACCAGATGCTGGTAAGGCAGAGAGTTGCACCTGTTCTGAATAAGTTTAAATAGCATAGTTTGAGTGGGAATGGATATTTAAAATATGTCTAAAGAGAAGCCCAGTGAACAATATCAAATGACATTTCTTTACCAAAGTATTTACTAACTTTCCATGCAGTTATCACTGCATATCTTTAACTCCATCTGAGTTCTTATTTCCCTTTCACTGAAATATGCCTGAGAATGCATCTGATTTCTTTAGCCATAGTGAGAGATGTTCAAAGAGTATGCAGCAATACAATTTTAGAAAAAATTACGCTACTCTTTTTACAATTAACCTACTATAATTAAATATTTTAAATGAAAAAGAAATCACTGACAGAGATATAAATATTTGTTTCAAAATTATATAAACCTCTTGATTCTAGAGGGAGTTGCTGAAACAATTGTTGATGTCAGTGATCTTAACTGGGCTTTAGATTTATTGCTTAATCAAATATGTTTATAATAACAAAATGTGTTATTATATGTCATTAAAATATTATATGTTATTAAAATGTTTAAAATAACAAAATGTGTTATCATCTCGTTTATGGCATTGTTAGATTTATCACTTGAATTTTCTTCTGTTCTCACCACTTCTTTTCCCAGCTATTCTCAGAAATTTTGAATGCTGTGCAGTAAGAAAATATTCATATGGAATTTGAGTAAAAAATCCAGCATTTTTGAGAAAGGATGAGGTGAAAGAAGAGAGACCCTATCAGCATCTGCCCTCTGGGACTAAATATATTCATAAAAATTCATAATTACGACAGAAAATTTATTGTTATGGAATAGAAAAGTAAAATAGGACTATAAGAACAGTCTCCAATGCAGAGTGGGTTAAAAAGGTGTATTTTGCAAATTTCTTGATGCAGATTTTTGGTTAATTGCTGATTACAGATCTGCCTGGCAAAGCAATGACTACAGGGCATGTTTGGGCCGATCTTTTTGTGCGGGTCATCAAAGTGATGGTGGTGGGATATGTTGTGTCCCACAGCTATCAGTTTCATACTTGCAAGCTGTCATGAGGCCTTTGTTAATTCATTTTGAGATGCATTAACATTTCAGATCCCCCATGTCATTCCATCACTTTGTAGAGATTCTAACAGGTCTGCTGATACTATTTCAGAGTTTTTCGGTAGTTTTTTTTTTTTTAAATACTGCCTGCTTTGTAGAATGAGCATCTTAAGGCTTTCCTGCAGATGTGCATTTGACATCATTATTCAGCAGATCTGAGGCATAAGTGTTAATGGTATTATGTTTTAAATTTATTTTATTGGAAGGATAAGGCAGGGGGAGATAAGAGATTTTTTTTTTTCCTAGTTCATAGTTTTGGTTCATCTTTCTTGTATCTGATAAATGTCTTCCTCTTCCCTCCCCATGCTCCCCTTCTAACTAGTGTCACAGTTTGGAAGAAATGTGACTCAAGCTTCCTTTTTACATTTTTCTAGTGAAAGAATTTCATAATTACTACACTGTTTAAGTAGCACAGAATGTCAAACTGAAAATAACTTTGTAATTTCCATTTGTTTTTAAAGTTAGAGAGTTAGAAATATAACTTGAAGTACTGACAAAAAGTGAGAACTAAATCAGTCTACTGATGTCTGTTCAGTTAACTATGTGTGTGGCTTTGTTTTTTTTTTCCCAACAGGTAGATGGAGCTTCTCTTGATGCTGTGTATATGATTGGTGTTAGTCTTGGGGCTCATATAGCTGGTTTTGTCGGCCAGAAGTATAATGGCAAAATTGGCAGAATTACAGGTAAGGCTTTTAATCCTGATACGCGTATTCTAATGTACCTTGTATTGTTGTCATAGCTGTGAATCACATAGATGCTAGCACTGAAATATCAGCAAATGAGAACTGATTATTTAGTAACATACATGAGGCAAAATGTATCCCTGACAGAAGTTCAGAAAATCGTGAAAGTCTGCCTTCAGGACATAAGTTACAGCTGAAATTTTCCAAGCTGTTTACCTCTAGTGTCTCAAATGAAAATTGAGTGCTACAATCAAATGCCACTGAAGTTAAATTACATACCACCTGAATTTCTGTCGAGCTGATGGACCAAGTCAGGTCCCTTTGAAGGGAAGTTTGAAAGCTCTGGGTCAGACCACAGGAATCAGGCACAAGGATTTAGTTTCAGTTTGAGGTATCTGAACATGGTGCAGGCTTTAGTATGTTGAGCTATCTGCTACAGGGAGCTTAAATCAGGTGTCCAGCCAGTGTATGGATACTGCAAAGCTTACCTCACACTTGTTACATGGTCAGCATTGTCATCTGTGGGAAGTGGTGCATACAGTGAAAACTGGAGTACCGTCATTTGGGTATATCTTTCAGGACCAGGGTTGCACGAAGTTTAGGATTAACTTCTAGATGATGGTTCCTAGGGCAGAATCCACAGTGCTAATCTGGGTGCACAGGCTTCAGATACTTCTTGTGGTGAAAGAGCAAAACTCAGCTAGCGTGTCGAGAAGGAAGCTCACTGAACTGACTATCAGAAAAGGTGCTAAGTGGAGAAGGGACTGTTGGATCCTCATAGTGTTTTGGATTTAAGAGAGCAGCTGTTTTCAGGCTGAAAGGAGGCAGTTACCTCTCCCTGAGATTCATAGCTCCAAACACTCTCTTCAGAGTACTTAAGTAATTTTTTACCAAAATGTAAGAGCAGCCAGTAGCCAGCCTTAAGAAAGGGAATTAGAGACTCCTCCCCTTTTAATACAGTAATCTGAAAGTTGGGGCATTTTCTAAGAGTGTGATAGGCTCCAGCTATATTCCTTTGGTTAAGAATACTCATTTCCCCTTTACACAGTTCCCTAGAGTTTTGTGGTGTCACTGGTTGGGGACAGTCTTGATTACAATGCTAGGCTAGCAGGTCTGTGTCCTCTCTGTACAATAACTGGGAGCTAGAAGATCCATGTCGTTTCTGAGCTCAGATGCTCGCAGGTAAACGGAATTATATGAAATGTTTTGATCACCTTCTTGTAATTACAGATATGGATGAATAAAGGCAAAGGCTGAGTAGTCCAAACACACAAGGCTCATAACATCTCAAGTGACTGTTTTGATACTCTTTCTTTCAAAGAAGTTGAGCTGGTGGCCCAAACTGGTGTTGGAAAAATGAAATTAAAAAAAAAAAAAAAAAAAGAAAAAGATATCTTCTTCTTCACCGTTTGGAGGTTTCTGAAATATAAAACTAATTAGTGGACTAAAATGATGACCTTTGTCACCTGGGGTACTATGAATGTGAATTCCTGGCATTCCATGATTCCCTGTGGTAGTTTGTGTCTTGGTTATCTTGATCCTGAGAGAGAACCTTCCTAGACTAGTTCTTAAAGAACATCTGCCAGTTAAATCATAATACAAATTTGGATAAGCTAAAGTCATACTATGTCCCTGTCTCTCAATGCAATTAGAAGTCAGTTAAGTGTAAGAATATCTTTTGCCTTGACAGTTGTATTTTCCATCTTTTCTGCTTTTTCATCTCATCTCTTTCTCTGTGCTTTTGTTGTCAAGAAAATAGGAGCAGAGCAAACCTCAGCTAACGATTTCCCTTTCCTGTAAAGGACAAAAATTACCATCAAGAAAATTATCAGGCTTCAGGGCTGCACAACATAATTCTCTGTCCCTAAAATGTATGAGAATATGCAGTATTTATGCTTCAGATACTTTGCCACCTAAATCCCCTCCTCCTTGATATAAAGTGCTTTTTATGGATCTCAGTTGGAATCTCTTTTGTCATAGTTGGGTTTTGATTTGAGTATAAGATTCCCAAACCTCCTTCAGGTGACAATGTTGTCAAAACCTAGTATTTCACTTAGCTGTATAGAACAATTTTTTTTCTATAAGTAATTTCAACACCAACTGATAAAATGATTGAGGCATGTTTGAAATTGTCTCCATCCAAGATGTCCTCATCTTGTGTTCTGGTGGTGAGACTAGTTATATTGTGCATTTTGTTTTTATGAACTACATAATAAGTATGGTATTTTCTGGGGAAAAGGACAAAATTAATTCTCCTGATTTGATCCCTAATGCTGTTGGCTTGTAATTCATCTGGAGAACTGGGAGATGAGCACAACTCATTAGGGAGAGAAATTCAAAGATATGGGTTGATCAATCTTCTGTAGGAACTCTTGCTTTGCTTAACAAGTTGAAGAATGGAAACTTGAGAAGAATTGTGCTGGTTTTTATTTTTATTATTATCCCAGGAAAATGAAGAGTCATTGATGAATAATGCTCAAATGTCAATCTTGTATATATCTGTAGAAACAGACCCCAGGATTTGTAATGCTAGTGTTATTTTCATTTAGGTCTTGATCCAGCAGGCCCTTCGTTCACTCGAGAACCACCAGAGAGGAGACTGGATCATACCGATGCACAATTTGTTGATGTAATCCATTCAGATACTGATGGTAATGACATAGCCTTAACTTTCCTATTTCATCTTGAGGAAAGGCAGGAAAGCAAAAGAGAAGGGATAAGCTGTTTCAATAACATCCAAATAGTGCTGCAGAAGTATATTTTGTGTTAACAGGTGGATTCCTGTGCTGTTGCTTTCTAACAATGTCTATACTTTTGAAATCATACTGTATGTTATTATGCCTATTCATCAAGAAATTGAAACTCAACTTTGCTAATGACTTAAGCAATGATGGGCTGTTTTGTTCAGTTCTGACATGAGTAGCCATGTTATTGAGTTCATTCATGACTGAATCTGAAAATACTGAAATAACTTTTGTGTCCAACAGCTAACTGAAGGCGTATGTAGATAACCATATAGTCATGAGTTCATTTAACGTCATGTAAAAGTAGCGATTACACCACTGTCATTTCTGTCTTGTTTGTTATAGTATATTCCTTCTGAATATAAAAAAAAAAGTCAGCACATTGAATAAAGCATGCATATTGCATTAATTTATGGTACTGCTATTTCCAAAATAGTTTAGCATTAACATCCTTTTGCTGTGCTACTGTGTGTGAACATAGAGGTTGTAAGCATGTGATTGTCACTGAATTAGGCCCTCCTGAGACAGCCAGTCTCAGCTATATCACGTTAGTACACTACCGATCCACTGCTTAAAATTCTAAATCACATTGCTGTAAGGTTAAAATGAAGAACGTTGTAAAGTCTGCTTCATCCATACTATAATCTGGTTTAATTTTTTTCTCAAAACTGTAAGTAAATCTTTCAAACCTACCACACTTGTCCCAATATTTGTGTAGTTTCATATCCGTTTCTTTAATAATATTAAAAATTAAGCATTTTACTATACAAATTTATATGTGAAGCTGTAAAATACCAATTTTTGTAATGTTCTAATTTTGTGAATAAAGATACTGTGTGGTAAAAAGGAAGGTAGGTCAGATTGAGCTGAATCTTACTCATGGTCTTTTATAGGACAGATACAGATTTTTCTGCTTTGATACACTGCTTATGTTAGTGTAGCTCAGAATCCAATGTCATGTGCTAAAAATGGAAAATCTTGCTCTGATGAAAATTACATTGGGAAAAAATTTTAGTTGCTGGAGAGAACATGAATTTCATGAATTTCTTCGTGCAAATAATGTTTCAGCTACAGCACTGGATAGATTCTTCTGTTCTATCCTTTTTCTTTTGTGGCAGGAGGAATCTTACACGAATTTGTATACATTTGTGTACAGCATTTTACATATGTAAAATTTTCTGAAAAAGAAAAAAAACATGGATTTTAACTCGTAACATGACTTCCATTTGCAGAACAAAAGAATAGTATAATTGCAAACATTTTCTTTAAGACCTCAATGTTATTTTGTAATGAATGTGATGATAAATAATTGACTGCATAATTCTGTTTATGTTTTTTTGATTCATGATGTTTTTACTTTAGCACTAGGTTTCAAGAAACCTTTAGGAACCATTGATTTCTATCCAAATGGAGGAATGGATCAGCCTGGTTGTCCACAAACAGTATTCAGTGGTAAATAAAAATATGTTCAATTAATGAGAACAGAGTTTGAGATCAAATCAAAAGAGTTTAAACTGAATTCAATGGACACTGCACATATTCGGCGATACGGGAGCCGATGGCATTGTATTTTTTCTTTTCCATCCCCACTCAGCAAATGAGAAATAACAAAGACATTTGACCTCTTTTTTTTTTTTAAATAAAGATCTTCCTGTAAGCATGCATATTCCACCGTACCACTATTATTGGTATGATGGAATTATATTATTATATTATACATACAATCTGCATATATTGATCATTATTTTTCTGTGTTTATATATGGCTAGGCATGGGGGAAGATGTTTGTGTCCAAGTGGTTTGGACAGGATCGCTTGCATATGACACGGAAGGCAAGGCTTTCAAGTCTTCACTGTGGCTTATGTTCCTCCTGGTTGGCAACGATGAACTAGGTTTTGGACAGGTCTTTTAGGCTCTAGGATGAAAACAGTTTTATGACATGATCTTTTGCTGCAGAATTTTGATTATTTCAACCTCTATAAATCTTAGGCAAGGCTGCTGCCTGTTGTTTTTGTTTACTCTTTTTGGATATGTTTATGTCTGCCTATGTTTCTATTACTAATCTGCACAGTGTTGCTACGATTAGAGGTGCTGCAAAAGCATAGGGCTTCCACTTGTGTGTTGGTGAGTATGGGAGAATCCCTTAAGGCTCAGGATCTTCATCTGTACAATTCTCCTAGTTTGTTTTGCTAGTAGAGGAAGTAATTTCTTACCCCCAAAAAACACAGAGAAGAATCTCTGAAGTATTCCCCACAGTAACTTTTTTGCTGAAATGTTTTGCACTGGATGCAACAAGCCAAATTTTAACTCAGACTCATGCTATATAACAAAAAATTCTGTAAATTTGATAGGACTTAGTAGACTATTTCTTACATATAAAACCCTGTAGACTTTTCTCTGTACCTGTAATATTCAAAATAGTCTTCAATTTCTTCTTGTATGTGTGCATCCATTTTTTACACTTGGTGCTCAACTAACCAAAGCATAAAAACATGGCTAACTAAGAATGACTCAGGTAAATGGGATTACTTTGATAACACCTTTTCTTTTATGCAGAAAAGGGATTACATATTATTCATGTATTTTGTTTTTTCTTTCCTGAAGGACTTCGGTATTTTAAGTGTGACCATCAAAGATCTGTCTTCCTCTTCTTATCATCTTTGAAAAGAAGATGCGACATAATAACGTATCCTTGTGACTCTTACTTGGATTACAAGAGAGGAAAATGTGTTGATTGTGAAGCTTTCCAGCCAATGTCCTGTCCAGTACTGGGTAAGCGTTATGATATCTGCTCTGGGCTGGGTGAGATTTTCCAGGAAATCCAGACTAGCTCATTCTGAGGCTACTCCAGAGATCTGTTGTATCGTGTTAGGGGATCTGTAGAGATTGATCACGTGCAGAGCTGCATGCTGTTTAAGGTAGTTTAAAGTTTATAGCTTTGTCTGCTTTATAGTTATCTCTGTTAGACACAGGTGCTGAATGTTCCTAATCTCTGATCATTATGCTTTCCAGTCCGAAATGGATTCACAGTGTATTTCCTTTCTACAGAGAAACTGCTTCTGCTTTGTTCATCACTTTAGGCTTTACACACTTTAGGTGTGTTATCATCCCTAGAGTACCTGTGGGTTTTATTTAAGAGTAATAATGTTTATAGCAACTTCATGGTTTCTCTGGCTCTTCTTGTGGAATCAAGCTTTTATTTGGAGGAGTTTTTAGTTGTTTGAGGTTTTATTGCTTTTAGAGAGGATCTGGGGACAGTCTGAAAAGAGCTACAATAGTGTGAGCATTTTCCAGTTGGCAGGGTTTTTTAAGAATGAAATTTAAAAAATATTTAATTAGAAGTTAACTTTCAATTTGTACCTTGTCTTTTTTACATCCTTTTGTACACCCTATATTAGTTAGATCAGGTTTGAAGAAAAAGCGTAGACAGATCTGTATGCTATTTTATAAAAAAACCCAACCATAATGGGACCTTATAGTAGGGCAGGAAGACTCCAGGATTTCCCCAGCATGGTTATTAGCTATGCTTGATGCACTACGCAGAATACTCGAGCTAGAGGTGGAGAAATATTTGACCAGTCAGTTGCCACCTTTTTTTTTTAATAACCATGAAACCTATGGCAGGCAGCTGAATCTGGGAACTGAGAGGAGAAGCTGCATCCTTCTGCTGCAAGCTTTCCTGCTTGCTGCCTTGCAGTGGCAGCTCTGCAGCCTGGAACTAGCCCTCATTGTCCAGTCTAGGTAAAGAAATCAAGAGGGACATAATAGGATCAGCCTTTTTAGAAACAAGAACTGTTATCAAGCCCCAGAGACAATAAACATAGAATTGTATAAACCAAAAGTTCTTTCTACTTTACATCCATAAGCTTAGGAAGCTTACAGAGTATCTAACATTTTATTAAATAATATCCACAATTATAGACCAGAGGGTTTACAAATATTTGCTTTAATAATTCAAAAAAGAGAGGAAGAAATTTTACCTCGTGAAGATGTTCTGTAACTGTTCTCTGCAAATATGTGGGCTACTTTTTTGGGGTTTGGTTTTATAATCTGTGCAGGACTTTATAAGCACTATTTTTTGGAGTTAGTACTCTAGAGTAAATAGATTCCAACTATTACATTATGACAATTTTAGTGATACTAATATATTAGAAGAATGAAATACTTGCATACTACATTCTATTATACTTAGGGTATTCCTGCATTTTCAAAGTCAATTTACTTTCTCAGAGAATATTTGAGAAAATTAAAGACAAGTCTGTCACTTTGGGTGAGTTTCTTCTGTGTAATTATATGTGTATCATGATTTTGCTAAATGTCTGAAATATTTAAACTTTGGATTTCAGGTTATTCTGCTGATAGATGGAAAAAACTGTTAATCCCAATGAGTTCACCAACAAAAGCTTATTTTGATACCTCGGATCAAGACCCATTCTGCAGTGAGTGACTGAATACATATATAACAAACTCTTTATGAAATGTTATGGCTGTTGTTTGTTAGCTGACCTGGAGTGAAGGCATGGTAAAAGCAGAAAGTTATTGTTAACTGCTGTGTAAAATGGTGTAAGAAAGCATGAGCTAAGCTTCAGTTCACAGACTGGAGGAAGAAGAAGAATGATTCTGGCAGAAGAGTAAGCAATATGTGAAGTGAGAAAGACGTGACTTTAAAAGTAATGGGATGGACTGCCAAGGAAGCCAGAAAATGAGAATCAAATGACAGGGAAAAAGCTGGACTGAGAGAACCTGCCTAGATGGATCATTGCTGCCATTTTCAGAGAGCAAAAATGGGAAGTGAGACTGCCCTGGGTGGGGGACAAAAAAGAGACACCTCTATGTTCCACCCTAGGAGGAGAGCACCCCACAGTCAACTAAAACTACTCCAGCTTTTAAAAGTCCATGTCTCCTTAGGAGTAAAACAGTGGAGGGAAAACATAGCTGACTGTTTCAGGGTTATACTGTATGGGAATGAATTCTCATGGCATGGGCTTTAGCTGCAACAGTTTAGATATCTGCCTATCCATGTAGAGGTCCAGTTTAGATTCTCATCCAGTTTCTGGTTTTATTAACAGACTTTACCACCATAAGCAAGTGTTAGCACAGTCTTCTAATTGGTTATGTTTAAGGTTCTTTGATTTAGGGTATGGGGATAGGCTTCCGCAAAATTCCAGTGAAATCAAATTTTCCCATTAGCTTTTTCGATCATCTTGGCAATGTTTTGTGGCCAGGGACTGAATATCTCTTTTTATAGTGGTAATCATGCTTACTTACATCACTGTTTCTTCCAAAGGGCCAAGGAAGGGTTAACAAAGATGTGATGGATTTTACATAAAATAACTCCTATTCACAGTAATCTTCCAGCTCAACCCAAACCTGCTACTGCTGTTCTTCCCTGCTCCTGTTTGCTTGGGCTTTGCTCTTCCATGCTCTCAAGGCTGCACAGACTGCTAGGTCTGTCTCCTCATTCATTCTTCTGGCAGAAAAATACAGCTTTACTTTCACTCTCACACATATTAAAATCTGGACATTCATCAAAAATCCAGCCAGGCAGAATCCTGATGATGGAAAGAGTACATTGCAGAAGGAAAAGATTATGTATAGTATTCTGGGAGAGGGGTGGTAGAAGAGAGAAAAGAGGGGGAGAGATATTACCAAACATAGGAGGAGGCACATGGAGAGGAATAAGAAACATTGTAACGACAGCATAAATTTAAGGAAAAATATGCAAAGTCAAGAAGAGAAATGACTGTACTAAACCAGTCTGGAAAACAGGGTATTTGTGAACTAAAACCTTATTTTAATTACTAGATATTTGAAAACATGGGAAAAAGAAGTAAACAAGAGGCCTTAAAACTAAGTGAAACTGTAAACCTGAGCAGGACAAGTTTTTCATATGATGTGAAGCTTAACCTTTCAGGAGAGAGTGTTAAAAAGCAACAAGCAAAAAAAAGAATAGTTTGAATTGGCTTCCTTGCTTTGGGAGTAGTAACGTTGTGTTTCCTCTGGATAGCCGTAGCACGGTTGCAATACTGGTGGTGATTACAGAAGTGCGGTAGAAGGCCAGGTCAGGGTTTCCAAAGGCACAGGGGAGCAGGTCAGCTCCGTGCCAGTGCGCGGAGGGTGCCAGCCCCAGGTACTCAGCCTGTTTTCCTGAGGCCGTGGGCCCTCCAGGGGAGGGGGAGAAGGGGCTGGAGCGTGGGAAAGCAATCAGATCCCTCTCCTCTTCCTCAGCCTTCCCGATGCAGTTTTTCTAGTACCCATACAGAGGTTTTGGCAGGTCAACTTCTCTGCGGGAAGGGTGCTTGGAGGACCTGTACTGCTGCACCTGCTCAGGCTGGGCAAGCAAAGCATAGGAATAATGTCTCTCTTTAGCTTTTACCACCTGGTTCATCTGCTCACCTAGCTAAATACCCACTTTGCCTATACACAAGGCTTGTGCCTTGTGCCAATGCTGTTCCTCTCCTCTCCCTGCCAATGTACCTCAGCTGTTTTCTGGACATGCCACTTCTGTGGGTAACGTGATAGTGTTGCTACACCAATAGCTCAAATATCCCCTCTTTGCAGAGCTTGCCAAAACCTGAAGGTGCTAGTCAGGTCATGATTTTGCACTTTTTCCTTAGGCAGGTCAAACTCTTCATGCTAATTCTGATGGTAGCTTTCTGATGCAAATCCTTTCCATGTAAAAACTAGAGGAAATGATACACTAATTGCACAGAACTCCAAGTAGCCATTTGGTAGAAGCTAGTTTTTGCCAATAGCCGCCCTATTCTGCTTTGAGCTGGTAACTTAAAGAGTCACTATTCCCATCATCAACAGTGAGTACTTTTAACAGGGTGATAATAACAACTGTATCCTGTTGAGGTCATTCTTTGAATCTTATTATTTCATATTTCTTTTTGCAGTGTATAACTACTTACTGGATATTACTACCTGGAATAAAAGCATTAGGAGAGGTTTCATTAAAGTTAAAATAACAGATTATGCTGGAAACACAGTAGAATCAGAGACGAATAGGTATGTTGTGCTTTGTCTTTAAATCTTTTTTATCACTTTATAGGACTAATTTTCTGAGTTTCCTAAACCTTTTAACTTGTTAACATGTAAGTCAAAAAAGTATCATGAGGTCGTTAAGACTTGGCCGTGGCTCCTTTTCCTGGACATGGCTCAGTGTCAGAGGCAATGCTTCTCACACTGAAGTGATCGTCTCTCCATTTATGAACTAGCCCAGGTCCTTGCATGGTACTGGTTTGAATCCAGTTCTAGGTGTCCTTGTTCTGAATGCTCGAAGTCGGTATGTCTTACAAGATTTCTGATCTTAATAATAATGTTTAGTAATACTGAATATTACTCAGCTAACAAAACCCTGACTAGAAATAATATTTTTCTTTAGTGAAGCTTCAACATTTCAGCAATATAAAAGAGTCAAAATACTAACTGGATTTTACCAAGACCTTGACAAGATATCAAAAATTTCCTTGACCTTTTCTACGAAGACATTAATAGGCCCAAAACACAAGCTTAGGATTCTCCAGATGAGGCTGAAATCTCTTAATAATCCAGAAAGGTAAGTGTTTGTCATGTATCAAATTTGCGTATCAATAAACTGCTCAGGATGTGTATTTCCCTCTATTGATATTTTTAATCACACATTCCTAAATGCAGGAATATCCTTCTCATCCTACCTAGGATCAAATTTATGATGTGGAAGACATGATAAATTAACATCTGGACATTAACATTTAGGGCACAGCACCCTCGGTTTGCATCTCTTGTACACGTAGATGTCAGCAAGCGTGCTGCTTGTTACAGTAGGCTGCCGCTGCTGTCTGGTCACAACGGGTTTTCAAGGACCACTTATGTGGGCCAGCCAGACTTAGAACTGCATGGTGAAGTTCTTTTCCAGAAGAGAAATTTTAGTAAGCACTTTTCTGATTTTAATCACGTGTCTGTACACAGCTTTTCACACTCAGATATGAAATGGAGCACTTCAGCTACTTGTGTGACCGGAATAGGTTTTTGGTCTTGGTGATGGTAAAGACCTTCCAAGACAAAAACGCAGTCTATGCTTCCTACACTTAAAATGAAATCATCTGCATTTGTTGATATTTAAGTGTCATTACTAAGCTTTTATTAATTATTTCTGGTTTTAAATACTTGGGCAGTATTGCCATATGTTCATTTTTTAGATCTCCAGAGTTACTTGTACAATAGTATTAGTAATGAAATTTTACATTTGCATCTTGTGAAAATAACATATTACATGGAATAGGTAAGAAATATCCAAGAGTAGCAAGAGTACTTTATTTTAGAGTTATTATGTTAATGTGCTTCTTATGAACAGCAGAGTCAACAAAATCAGAATCTAAAATAAAATCTAATAATGGCTATCAAATAAGTAATGAGTGGGAATAATATTACAATATGAGTACGTCTTAAGTCAGTATATTTTGTTAACTTGAGAAATGACATTTAAGGCTTTCTGATTTGGTATATGGTAATTGTCTAGTAGCAATTGGGTATGATACTTTGTAAAAATTATGAAACCTTGTTAAATTAATCTGCTATTTCATATTTATGGAGAAGGAGGAGACAGGTGGGAGAGAGTTAGAAACAGAACAGTAATCAAAATATTGCCCTAAAATATGTATACATTAGACTTTATTAACTTGTTGAAGGCCATAAGTCTCAAGCTCTCAGGTGAACTGGTATGATTTTATCTAAAAGCATTTGGTGATGAGAGATAGTCAAAGCTCTAAATCGTATTGCAATTTGTTTTCTCAAGCCAACGGTGATAAATCAGAAGATATATTTCATGCAAGCCTATCAGCATTCAGGACTTTTTCAGATAATGATCTAGCAAATATGGAAGACTTTCAGTGAACATCCCTTACTGGTTTTGAGTTTTCATTCCTGTTACTCTGACTCTTGTTAGTTTTGAAGTAAGATGCACTTGATTTGCTTTAATATAGGATCCACTAAAGTCCTCCACACGGAGCCTCATCAGATGGCAGTCATATAGGCACATTAGATACTTTTAGATAGCAATGGAAAATAGTGTATTGAATCAGCATGTAAAGGTAATTTAAATGCAGATGTTACAACACTATTGGTTGGTATAGTTACATAATTGCTCATTGTAATTATAACTACCTATATTTACCTTATTTAGTTACATATAATTATGACAATTACTTGAATACAGGATAATCAACTAGAAACTACATTAAAATATTTAAATTGTTCATAGAACAAAGTAATAGGTAAAAACCAGGGGACAGGTGCAGGGATAAAAGGAAATAGGAATCTCAGTCTCCCCAGATCTGGGCTAATAGCAGACAGTGGGAGTTTGGGGAATATCACTGACTGTTGTGTACTGGGCTGGTCCATTATTCACACAGATGGTGTGTGAATGTGGGAGTGCTAAAAGGTACATATAATTTTCAGACTCTTCTGGTCTCTGAGATAAATCATTCCAGCTCACCCATAAAAACAGAAAGCTTTCCTAACTTGTGTGTGTCCAGGTGTCAGTTCTCCCAAAAAGCTTTTGAACCCGTCAGTCAATTCAAACTCAATTGATGGGGAAAGTGAATGTCTCAAAGATACTTAGCCCAGCCACCTTTGGGACTTTTTAACCAAAACAAGAACAGGAGTAATAAAAAATAAGACCTTATTAATACCTCTACTGAAGAAGAGAGTGTGGCATTCCCTTGCTTTTTAGTAGACAGCAGAGAAGCCACATGGGGTGAGGGATTACAAAAGCCTAACCTAACAAAAACATTGTGTTTTACTCCTTGTTGGAGTGAAACTGGAGAACCTGCTCCTCGCTCAGGGCTACTCTCCCATAAGGCATTACGTACTCAATA